CCTCCCTCTCCATACCCCTACTTCCCTCCCTCTCCATACCCCTACTTCCCTCCCTCTCCATACCCCTACTTCCCTCCCTCTCCATACCCCTACTTCCCTCCCTCTCCATACCCCTACTTCCCTCCCTCTCCATACCCCTACTTCCCTCCCTCTCCATACCCCTACTTCCCTCCCTCTCCATACCCCTACTTCCCTCCCTCTCCATACCCCTACTTCCCTCCCTCTCCATACCCCTACTTCCCTCCCTCTCCATACCCCTACTTCCCTCCCTCTCCATACCCCTACTTCCCTCCCTCTCCATACCCCTACTTCCCTCCCTCTCCATACCCCTACTTCCCTCCCTCTCCATACCCCTACTTCCCTCCCTCTCCATACCCCTACTTCCCTCCCTCTCCATACCCCTACTTCCCTCCCTCTCCATACCCCTACTTCCCTCCCTCTCCATACCCCTACTTCCCTCCCTCTCCATACCCCTACTTCCCTCCCTCTCCATACCCCTACTTCCCTCCCTCTCCATACCCCTACTTCCCTCCCTCTCCATACCCCTACTTCCCTCCCTCTCCATACCCCTACTTCCCTCCCTCTCCATACCCCTACTTCCCTCCCTCTCCATACCCCTACTTCCCTCCCTCTCCATACCCCTACTTCCCTCCCTCTCCATACCCCTACTTCCCTCCCTCTCCATACCCCTACTTCCCTCCCTCTCCATACCCCTACTTCCCTCCCTCTCCATACCCCTACTTCCCTCCCTCTCCATACCCCTACTTCCCTCCCTCTCCATACCCCTACTTCCCTCCCCCACCATACCCCTACTTCCCTCTCTCCATACCCCTACTTCCCTCTCCCTCCATACCCCTACTTCCCTCCCCCACCGTACCCCTACTTCTCTCCCCCTCCATACTCCTACTTCTCTCCCCCACTGTGCTCCTACTTCTTGCCATTGCACTTTTGGGGGGGGCAGAGCAGCCCTCTGTAAGGGCCAACCAGCACCCCTGTGTGATCCTCCTCCCTGGACAGCCATGGCTCTGTGCCTGCCTCCCAGATAGGTTCCCAGGAGAACCCGAAGGGAACCAGGACCAGAGAGAACCTGTCAGTCCAGTCTCTACCTCAGGGCCTGTGGGGTCCGAGGAAGGCGGTGGGCAGTACAGGGGTACAGTTATTCGAGGCCTGGGCACCATGGCATATGCGAGAATGTGTTCTTTAAAAAACATACACACATATTTTTATTGACTTCAGAGAGATAGAGACATCAATGATGAGAGAGAATCATTGATCGGCTGCCTCCTGCACACACACCCCCCTTACTGGGGATCGAGCCCGCAGCCTGGGCATGTGCCCTGACCAGGAATGAAACCCGGGACCCTTCAGTCTACAAGCCAATGCGCTACCACTGAGCCAAGCGGGCCAGAGCAAGAGAATGTGTTCTCCATGAGCACAGCCCCTTTTCCAGAGTTTTAAAACTTGAATTCATGGACTTACATGCCAGGGGGCTTAAAATGATGGGGTTTCACACATGTTCGCATGAGCAACGCTGTGTCCTAAGAACTGACGCCATTGCATTAATAACAGGACTGAGCAGGGGTGAGCCAGAAAAGCAGGGACTTTTTTATTTGGAAAGTTCCTTTTCAGGAGGTAGCAGCTCCCAGGGGCCCCCGCCTCCTGAGGAGCCACAAGCCTATTGAGGGTGTCTCCTGGCTGGCTGCACCCCTTTACCTGGAAGTGGTGCTGTCAGGGGGTTGGTTCCAGCAAAGGTGTGTCCAGGCTGGTCGGCCACAGGTCTGACTGGAGACCGAGGCTGGGTGAGGCCATCTCCCCAGCTCTCCCAGCCTGTCCACCTGATGAATTACCTGCCTCCCCACTCCACCACTGGGAATACATTTTTAGGATATTTTCGTGAGCAACCTTTGCCAACCCTTTCTAAATCAGTTACAAAACAGAAACTCTTCCTCCTGCTGGGCAGAAAGATAGAAGGGGGAGAAAGAGAGAAAAACACACCTTGCCTGTAATTGAAGGCAGGTTGGGAGATGTTCGTGCTTTGAAATTCTCCTTCTTGTGAAATGTTTATGAAACATTTTCCACAAACGAGTTATGCAACTGGGACAACAGCTTTGATCGCTTCCATCCCCAGCGGTGCCTCCATCCCTGCTGGCTGTGCTCCCTGGGGCGGGGGCTGCGGAATGTCAGGGGCAGCGGAGCCCCAGCCCCGCCCCAGGCCCCCAGCCCCGGGCCAGGAGGAGGGCGGTGTGTCCGGCCCACCTTCCGCCACCGGCTCTGTTCCGGCCGCCCCGCCGCGGGATGCTTCGCGGAAAGTGCGCCGGGAGGGAGAGGCCGCCCGGCCAGGGCTCTGCGGCACTTCGTTGGGTGACTCGGGCCTCCGGGCAGCTCTCAGCCTCCGGAGCTGGGAGTGGACACTGGTCCCCACCCTCCTGGC